CCAATCCACACATCTTCAATTTTTATAATTCCTCCATGGGGGTACATTCCTAACACTCATCATGCTATTGAACAACAAACAATTTCACCTATAGCAGCCCACTTCTGATATTCACTGGGCCAGAAATCAGAGCCTCTGATGTTGATTGGCACGTGGTGGCAGGAGAGCCTGTGACCCCCGTATGCATGTGGCCTTTGTGCTGCCATGCTGGCTGATCACAGCTGACTGCGAGGGGAGATGGCTGGCCCTAGGGTCCCCCAGGAAGTGCGCATGCGCATCACAGCTGAAATGTTTAATGTGAGTCACAGCCATCGGAACAAGATTTAAAGAGGTGCTTGTAGACTCAGGAGTGCTGGGTGGCAGGGAGGGAAGGGAGAAGATAAAAGTGGTCCTCATAGCATCTGGTGAAGTGGGGCTGTGATTGTGACAGCTAAGTGCCACCATCCAAAAACACCCTGAGACCTTAGGGCAGTGTTACATTGGACAAGTGGAAACTTCATGGAAGTGACAATAATTGCTATTGCTGATATTTACTGAGCACTAAACCCAGTCTCTTCACTGTGCTAAATTCTAGCATGCTCGAACTTACTTAATCTTTATATAACTATAACGTTGATGTGAAAACAATTAAGGCTGGGAAAAGTTAAATAACGTCCTCAAGGTTATCTAGCTTGTGAGTGAAGAAGCCAGTATTTAAAGCATTTTATCTGATTGCAAACCCCATGCTATTTATTTAAGATATTTTTAAAGGGGAGTGATATGGTTTAACAACTGCATGTATAGAAGTTATGTAGAGATTTTAGGTAACATGAATCTCGATATGTGTCAGCAGTTTAATGTTGTTGTTGAGAGAAAGCGGGGGAGGGGAAAGAAGGAAGGAAGGAAGGAAATACAAAGCAAATGGATTCCACCTTTAGCTACATTGCTAATAATAGCTCATATCTGTTAAGTACTGGCCTTGGCCATGTCCTAGGCCCAAATCTATGTACTTTACATGTATTAACTCATTTTATCTTCACAACTATCTTACAAGCCATCCCCTTGGTACAGATGAGGAAACCGAGGCTCAGAAAGGTGAGAGACCCGGCCTAGGGTTACAGCGGCCAGAATGCAGTGCGTAAACGGGAGAGGCGTCTATTCACTTCTGCCTGGACCTTCCCTTGGGCTCAGTAAATATGTCTGCAACAGCAAAGGGGAGGAACCCGAGTTCATGACTCGTCCATCATTATGCACAGGAGTGGTCCTCAACGGTGTGCGTGAAGTCCGCCCAGGGGGAGACGGGGGCGCTCCCAGGCCCCCACTCCACTCTCAGGATGAGTCAGATGGTCATTTCATAAACCGCCGTCCTGGACGATGAGGACGCCAGGTGCTCGTCTGAGGATGCTCTGAGGGCACCAGGTGGAGGGGTCCCCATGGCCGTCCAAGACCGGCTTAAGGTAGGGTATTTCAAAACCACTTGTCCCAGAGCCTCAGAACAAGGGATTAAGAAAAAAGCTTTCAGAGAGAGAGAGAGAGAGAGAAAGAGAGAGAGAGAGATGCACCTTGTCTCACAGGCTCTCACAAAAAACAGGTGAAGAATATTAATTTTTATTTATACACTTAGATATTACTTGTTACCATTTCTTTACAATGGCTTTGTTGCTTTTATGATCATACCAGCTAGAAATAATAATACATCCAGCAGAAGATACTTTAGAGGGATATTGCAACACCGGAAAGCTACATAATAGACTTTGTTTTTAGGTTCACAGCAAAACTGAAGGGAAAGTCCCTGCCGCCCCTGCCCCCGCCCCCACCGACGGCCTCCCTGCCCACCTCAATGCCCTGCATTAGGAGTATGTGTCTTGCAACTAATGAGCTAACACTCGCACATCAATCATTGTCAACCGAAGTGCATAGTTTACACTAGGGTTTACTCTCGGGATTGCACAAGCTGATGACATGTATCCAGCATTATAGTATCATACAGAGTAGTTTCACTGCGCTAAAAATGCCCTGTGCTCACTCATTGATTTCACCTCCCTGCCACTCACCCCGCCCCGCCGCGGAATCCCTGGTGTCCACTGATCTGGCAGTAAAAACTGTCTCCAGAGCTTTGCCTCTTCCACAATGTCATATAGTAGCAACCAATAGTATATAATCTTTCAGGTTGGCATTTTTCACTTGGAAATATACATTTAAAATTTCTCCACGTGTTTTCCTGACTTGGTAGTTTATTAATTTTTATCACCGAATAATATACCACTGTCTGGATGTATCACAGTTTGTTTATCCATTCACCTATGGAAGGATATCTTGGTTGGTTCCATGTTTTGTCAATTATGAGTAAAGCCGCTGTAAATATTTTTATGCAGGTCTTTGGGTGGACATGGTTTTCAGCTCAATTTAGAGAAACAGAAAGGCATGCAATTGTTGGATCATGTGGCAAAATACGTTTGTTTTTTGTAAGAAATTGCAAGACTGTCTTCCAAAGTGGCTGCACCGTTTTGCATCTATACCAGCCACGAAGGAGCGTTCCTGTTGCTCCGCATTTCTGCGTTGAATTCATTCCAGCAGGTGTGCAGTGAGCAGTGCCTCACTCATTGTTTTAATTTGCAATTCCCTGATAGCATATGGTGTTGAGCATCATTTCATATGCTCATTGGCCATCTGTATATCATCTTTGAACATATTCATTTGGATATTTTGCCAATTTTTAAATTGGGTGGTTCATTTTCTTATTGCTGAGTGTTTAGTGTTCTTATTTTGGATAATAGTCCTTTATCAGATGTCTTTTGCACATGTTTTCTCAGTTTGTGGTTTGTCATATCATTGTTTTGACAGGGTCTTTTCCAGGGGCAGTGTTTAATTTTAATGAAGTCCAACTTACCAACTTTTTCTTTCATGGATCTAAAACATCATCAGGAAACATAAGGTTGCCTAGATTTTCTCCTATGTTATATCTTCTAAGACTTTTATAGTTTTGCATTTTATACTTAGGCTTATGATCATTGTTTTGTATTTGATGTCCAGTTGTTCCAGCACCATTTGTTGATAAGACTATCCCTTCTCCATTGCATGGACTTTGCTCTCTTTTTTAGACATCACTTGACTTTATTTGTGTGGGTCTCTTTCTGGGCTCTGTTTTGTTGCACTGATCTATTTGTTTGTTTTTCCACACTACCGACCGCACTGTATTGTTTATTGTAGCTTTACAGTAAGTCTTGAAGTTGGGTAGTTTCAGTCCTCCAACTTTGTTCTTCAATATTTGTTGGCTTTTTAGGGTCTTTTGCTTCTCCTATAAAAGTTAGAATTAGTTGCTTGATATAAACAAAATAACTTGTTGAAATTTTGATTGAGATTACGTCGAATCTATACATCAAGTTGGAAAGAATTGATATCTTAACAATATTATCTTCCTACCAAAGAACATGAAATATCTCTTCATTCATCTTCTTTTATTCATCAGAATTTTGTAACGTTCCTCACTTGGATCTTGCACATATATTTACACCTAAATATTTCATTTTTTGGTGTAATGTAGGTGGTATTATGTTTTAAATTTCAAATTACAATTGTTCATTGCTGGTATGTAGGAAGTTGCTTGACTTTGGTGCACTGACCTGCAAACTTGCTGTAATCAATATTTGTTCCTGGTCGGTTTTTAGTTGATTGAGGTTTTCTACATAATCGTGTTATCTGTGAACAAAGGAAATTTTACTTCTTTCTTCCCGATATACAATTTCAATTCCCTTTTCTTATCCGATTGCAGCTGCTGGGACTTGCAGCACACTCCTGAAAGGAGTAGTGAGAGAACATGACCTTGCATTGCTCCTGATCCTAGCAAGGAAGCTTCTCGTTTCTTTCCATCATGTTAGAGTTTTGTAGATGTCTGTTATTAATTTGAGAAAGTTCTCTTCTATCCCTAGTTTATTTTAACATTAAAAAGTACACAAATTGCTTGTACAATTTGATTCTAATTTTTGTGAAAAATATACATTGGAAAAAAGGCACAGAAGGGAGTACATTTATAATTTGTAGTAGTCATTTTTGGCCGGATAATGGGTATTTTTTCTTTACACATTTCTGTATTTCCTAAACTTTCCCTAATGAACCTATACGTATTTTTTTACAACAGAAAAATAACTATGTAAAGCGATTAGGTGTTCTAGAGAGATGGCTTATGGACAGGAAAAAAAAAAAAAAGATTAAAGCCCTACTTAAATGGAATTTAAGAAGAGAGGTCTGCTTTAGCAAATGTGTCCTCAATGAGAATGTAAGTTCTCGGAGGGCCAGGCCTGACCCCAGATCCCCACAGCGTACATAACAGGTCAATTCACCTGTGTCTCAGCTTTGCCTGCCAACTGCCATTTATTTATTTGATATTCTGAGCGTGGTTCTCGTGGATAGGGAACCAGGTTTCCGTCTTTCCAAGTAGTTTTGCTTGGAGAGTATTTTACCGTATTTTAGAATGAGGAGAGAGAGGCAGATGGAGAAGTCGCAAGGGAACTGAACTGCTGAACCGGGAGCAGTAGGACCTGACAAGTCTTGGCCCAGGGTAGGAGGAGCGCGGGCGCCTGGTGCCGCTCCGGAGCCGGAGCCGAGCGCACGGGCAGCAGCGCCCCCGCCTGGCTCTTGAGCGCCCGGCCGGCGCACACGGCCCGCCCAGGTGCCTCGAGAGCGCACGCAGCTGCCAGCGCTCTCCTGGTCCGCGGCTCCCGCGCCCGCGGCGTGCTGGGGCGGCGGCGAAGGTGAGGGGCGCGGCGGCCGCACGGCCCTGCCGCCGCCTGGCTGCAGGGCGCCGGGACGGGCCGGAGCCGGGCTGAGCCGCGCCCACGCCGCGCGCCGCGGAGGGGAGGCGCTGGGGACGGCGGCGCGGGCGCGCACAGGCGGCGCGGGGCGGCGCGGACCCTCGGCGGGCAGCGCGCCCTCCTCTCCCGGGTCCGCGGCTGTCGGCAGGTCGGGCCGGCGGCCCCTCTGCCTCAAGTCTGGGCGCTCCCGGCTGCACTCTGCCGCTGCCTATGGGGATCCGAGAGTTTCCCGGCGGCGCGCCCCGGGGCAAAAGCATCGCCCTGTGAGTAGCGCCTGGTGCGGGTGCGCGGGCGGGTGGCCCTTCGCAGCCGGGACGCCGGGAGGTCTGGGGCTCGGGAAGGGAAGGCGCGCGGAGGGGCTTCTAGGGAAGTTCAAGACATCCTGTCCCTGACCACTCGCCCCAACCTGCCTTGCCCCGAGGCGCCCGGGGCTGGACACCAGAGACGGCACCCGACGCCGAGGCTGCCGCGAGCTGGGTGGGCGGCGAGCGGCGGGAGGGAAGCGCTGGCCCTGCGGTGGTACCTGCCCCAGGAGGCCGAGCCGCGCCCTTGCTCTTCTTCAGGTCGCTTCTCACCGAAATCCCCCCTCTCTTCCTCCCGGCCCACCTGCCGGGCCTCAGTGGCATGAGGAGGTCACCGGACGTCAGCCCCCGGAGACTGTCCGACATCAGCCCCCAGCTCCGGCAGCTCAAGTACTTGGTGGTGGACGAGGCGATCAAGGAGGACCTGAAATGGTCGCGCTCAGTGGAGGACCTCACCAGCGGGCCCGCGGGGCTCACGTCCATCGAGGAGCGGATCCTGCGCATCACTGGCTACTATGGCTACCAGCCCTGGGCGGCGAGCTACAAAAGTAAGACCCCTCACATCACTTCCCCCGACGCCGGTGCGCCTCCCCTTCGGTGGTCCCCCCAGCCCCCGGAGCGCACGCAGCGACGCGTGCGGCCGCCCTTCCCCCCACGACTGCCCGGCCCCAAGTTTCCCTCGCCTCTCCAGCCTTGCCCCCTGCTCTGTCACAGTCCGGGAGACATTGGAAACAGTGTGTCCTGCACTGTAGGCTTCCCTGCAGAGCTGGAAGTGTCACTGGGGAGTCAGGCTCAGCGAGGCTGCAGATGTAGCTGGCCTGGATTTTAACTCTTCCCTGGGTCCTCCAGGCCCTGCTGGTGGAGGGCAATTCTTGGGCCTGCCTTTTAGCTCAGTCACTCCCTTTGCCCCAGGTCTTCATCTGCCCTCCGTGCTGAGCTTCTGTTGGGAGCTTTCTAGATTTGGGAGGTGGTGAGTGGCTGGGGCCAGGTGGAGCAGCTGAAACTTTCCTCGGCCAGCGAGCCCCAGGTGATGGTTTTGGCAGTGCCACGGTCAGTTGTCCAGGCGTTACCTGTGTGATCCCGGCTCACGGGGCCACTTCCTTCGCTCGCCCTGGGAGAAGCCGACTACAAGGAACTCCAGATGTCCGTGGCTGTAAACCGTAAATAGGTGGTTGTGTCCCGATTGTTTGTTTTATGGGCTAATGGAGGCTGCCTAGAGCCAGTCAGTGGAAGGAATGAGCCTCACTTGGTTCTATTTGTAAAAAAGCCTAGCAGCTTAATGATTCCGAGATTTGTTTTTACCCTTTGTCCCCTGGAATTGGAACATACTTTGTTGGTCCTTAGGGGGAAAAGAAACCCAGCTTTTGTAAATCAATCATATTCAGCTCTAAAAATACGTCTACCTTTAGTTTGTTTTCCTAAAACCCTGGATTGCAAGCCAAAGGTCAATGGCATGCTAGCCGCTAGCTGGCGACGTTCAAGTTATTTGCAGGAAGAAACATAGGATTTCAAATGTTTTCTTTTCATGCCCTTATTTGTTGGGAGAGGTCTGTGGCGATTGCATTTAACTCTGTGTAAACCTTTAAAGGTTACCTGGGCCTCCTGCTTCTGCTGCTGGAGGGGTAGCTGCCACAGTGGTTTGGGACTGCAGGAGGAAGGCAAGCCCCAAGGTCCCTTGTCAACTGAAAAACCCTAGCACGAAACGACAGGAGTGCCCCAGAAACCCACGGGAAGCCATTTCTCTTGGAGATGGGGATGGGACACTCAAAGTATTCTTCTGCTTTTAAAATTTCTGTTGGGAATTTCCTATCTCTCATTTCTGGTCTCTGCTTTCTGAATGACGGCAGACGGTGGTATAAATTACAGCCTCCAGGAACTTAAGGTTTACCGTTGTGAGTCCATTTGTGGCTGGCCCCTTGTGCTCCGCAGAGATGCTCACCGAGGTGGGTGACTTGGGGGGCATACAGCGGCGACGGCTGTGTTTGGTGCATGCGTATTCTGTCACCGAGACAGGGACAGGCCTTTTGGGAATAAGTCCCTTGTGCCACCGGCGGTCTTCTTCAGGTCCCCCTGCTGAGGCTTCCCTGGAGCAAACATCAGCAGGCGGCAGCGGGGGTCGCTGCGCTGGGGTAAAATCACCTCGCTCTGCTCTCTGTGCCTGTGAGGAGTCTTCTTTATTCCCAGGCATTCCCTTTTTACTAAAATGCTTTCGACGACAACTGACATTTTGATGAATTAATTGGATTTTAAGTTTAAATTTAGAGAAACTAATGTTTTATTAATACAGCCAAAGACTTTTTAAGAGCAGTACTCCAGCTTTTTTGTCATTTTACCCAAGTAGGAGAAAAATAATGAAGATGCTTCTCTGTATATTGGTATCAGTTAGTTATTTTGTGTGTTGGTCAACATTCACACCTAAGGAGCAGGGAGAAATGATGATTACAAAATACCTGTTATTGTCATGGTCTCCAGAGCCATCCATGGGACGCTGTAAGGCTTCCTCCTGGGCATTATGTCACCTTCTAGTCATCTTTCAGTGTGGCCTGTCTCTGTTCCCACTAAAGTAGTTGCCGGTGACAGTTTCTAGACTCTTTGACAGGTATGAGTGAGTTGCCCTTGTAGCAGCAGAAATTATTTGAATGACCAAGTATGCATCCCTCTCCATTTACCTTTTAGACCTTGTGCTGGGCAGTAAAGATAAACAAGGTCATTGTGAACAGTGCAGACATTTCTTTGCTCGGTATTCTCAGCCCAGTCCATGAGATTAGCAAGTCGCACTATGGACCAGGGACTATGTGTCTGAAAGCCTCTGGGTCTGAGAGGGATGGTCTGTGTGGAACATTCTACCGAGAGTTAAACTATTAACAAGCTGGTTGGAAGGGTCGAGTTCCTCTTCTCAATGGCTGACGTGCTCTGAGCACCAAACGCCTGGGCACGTTCTGGGCGGTTCCTCAGGGTCCCAGCCACGGGCGCACCCAGAGCGCAGGGAGCAGGCCTGGTCAGGGCCAGGTGCCTGTCGCTGAGAGGGTGGGGCCTGCAGGCGGGAGGGCCTCTCAGCCCCCGGCAGTGGTCAGCGGACTTCTGTTTCGAAGCGCTTCACCCCGTCCTTTCTCTTCCCCGGCACGTGTCGCCCTTGACGGTCTGAACCACAGACTAGACCAGAATTCTGGATGGCGCGCTTTGGTGGGGCCCATGGGTGTTCAGCCTCAGCACTGTTGGCGATTGGTACTGAATAGTTCCTTGCTGTGGGGGGCTGCCCTGGGCATGGCAGGGTGCTGAGCGGCATCCCCGGCCCCTGGCGTCCCCCCACCGTGACAACCAAAAATGTTTCCAGCCTGTGCCCAGAGTCCCCTGGGCGCGTGCCTCTGCGTGAGGGCCCCTCCCGAGGCTCCCCCGGCTTGGGCTCCCGGCGGCCCTCTTCCTGTGGGGCCCAGGGGGCCTGGCAGGCCCGCCCTGTGGAATCCCGGCCTCTCTCCCTCCTGGGCCACTTAGGGTTTCCTGGCCTGCCCGTTAGAATAAAGAGTTTCTGAAAGGGCCTGTCTGTCTCTTCCACACCCACTCACCATAAATTGATACTTGAGAGGAAGTGCTTTAGAATCAGGACAATTTGGTTCGTTTTTCTTAATGACTTCCTTTCCCCTCCCACCTTGTAGCAGAGCGGAAGGGAAAGGACTGGGCTGCCTTCTGGTACAGCCCCCAAGGAGGTGGCGGCTGTGGAAGGGAGGGCAGGGGGCAGAGATCGGGGGCAGGCCTCCCGGTGGTGGACGGCCCGGCGGAAGCTGAAGCGTGGGGACTGGCGGATTTTGCCACAGGGGCGATGGCAGTGGCGTATCTGGGAGATGCTGCAGACAGCCTCCTAAGTGGGATGAAGGAGAATCTGTAAACGCTCCTTTATTTTCACACATTCATTTAGCAAACTTTTCTGGAGCATTGACTCTGTGCTGGAACACAGGCGGGAGACGGGGAGGCGGAGACGGGGAGGCGGAGACGGGGAGGCGGGTGCTGCCCAGGGGTGCCTTGGTCAAGAGCCAGCGCGACAGACGCCTGCATCTAGGAAATGGATGCCTCATGCCCGCTTAGGAGACATGTGTTGTTACATTGCAAAAAGTTTCCCTAAAGGGTGTTTTCAAGAAGTGAGCTCGCAGACATTTTTCTAGCAAAGAAACCTTTTAGGAGCAGCTTTGGGAGGTCATGTTTAGTGCTTAAAATGAGGTATTACTGTCGTTAGTGGTACTGATACAATGCAGTGCTGTATGTTCAGATAAAAATGACTTCAAAAATGCTGGTGTGTTTAGTTTTCAGTCATTTGGAGAGTGCAGGGTGGGCAGGTCTCAAGTGACCGCCACCCCCTCTCTAGCTGGGCGGTCACCTCCACCTGCCATTGGAGACTTGAACCTCGGCTGGGAGCATGCGGGTGACTGAGCTCTGAGTAACTCACCTGGTGAGAGGAGATCTCAGGATTCAAGATCCTCTAGGTTTAAAATGTTAGAAAGCATTCACAGAGGGCGTGGGAGCGGGTTGTGGAGAAAGACCCTCTTCCAGCGCTCGGTGCACCTGCGACAGCGCGGCGCTGAGTGCGGGGCGCCAAGTGTCCTCACCGGTGGCAACTGGAACGGCAGCACATAACATACTTGATTTCATGGTGCGCAGCTTCTGTCTGCTCCTCCCAAGAGGTAAAGGTCAGGTCAGCAATTCAGAATGATCCAGTTGTCAGAGACCCAGTTTATAATTTGGTTGTAAAAGTTTATTTTAGAATGGAGGCTGGCATATGAAATACTAGATTGAAAAGATTTTAAAACAAAAAAATTGGAGGGACTGTGGGCGGGGTGGCATGACCATAAAGCCTAACAGTTTCTCTTGTCTCAGGGAGTAAGTTTTATTCCTGAATATAAATACATGCTGATGACGTAAAAAATAGTTTTCTGAGACAGCCACATATTGAAATGCAGAACAGTTAGTTTTTAAAGGAAACTCAGGGCTCCTCAGTACACGCTGATGACCCGCAGGTGCTGGAAAGCCTTTGCGCCTGGTCGTGCAGGGCGGCTGGTCCGCGTTCTCACCTTTAGGAAGCCTGGTGTTCCCGTCCTGAACAATGGCCAGGCAGGGAGCGGTCTCATTGTTTTCAGGAGCCTATCCTGGGTCTCTACAAAGCAGGGAGTCTGAAACCCTCGTGCTGGGAGCCTGCCCTCTCTTGAGGCAGCTGGAAGAATACGGGTGGGTTGCACTAACAAATGAATCCACACGTGGGTGAGCCGAGCCATTGGACTCTGTTAGGCGTCTTACTGAGTGTCGATAAGGAGCCTCATTGGAATTCCGTCCCTGACTGAAGGGAGGGAGGACCTCAGTGCCTTCAGCGCCGTGCGGAGAAGCAGAGGAAAGGGACCCACGGGGTGCCGCATTCGCAGCCGAGCTTCGCCCCTTGTACAGAGGTCCCGAGACCTGGCCCGGGTCAGCCTCTGTCATCTATGAAATGGGGGGCAACGCCGGCCCGTTGCAGGACTGTCGTGAGGAGTAAATGAAGTAAATTGTATATATATATATAGTATCT